TGTCATGTAGATACAACGAACACAGAATCTATAACAGCGCCTACTACAATACCCACCAGTGCAGATATCCCCGAGACTACAAAAACTACAAAACCCACTCCTTCAATTCCTATCAAACCTACAGAGCCTACAAGCACAGCAACAATAACGGTCACATCTACTGAAACGATAGACACCACAGTAACAGAGCCAAACACTGAAACTGAAATTCCAAACCCTACAAAAACTGAACGAAGCCCCAGTGAATCTTTAACATCGCTCTTACTCATTTTTACGATTGTGGCAACAATTTCTGTTCTCATTGCGTGCACATGTTTTATGTACTACCAATTAAGTGGTAAAAATTCATGCCTAAGCAAATGGAAGCTGAGCTTTATTCGGGAACAAAACCGAACGCAAGACGTAGTCGAAATGCAAAATAATGCAAATGGATTACATGAAGATCCAGACAATGAAGAAATCAACCATGATGTTCACATTTATGAAGAAATCAACAACGATCTTTACGGAACTGGACCTGTTCCAGCATCAGCACAACAAAATTGAATCCAACGATAAATGAATCGTTGTTAAACAATCAAGTTACAGTAAATTGATTTTCTTCTTCTGCGGCTCTTTACGTTTTATTAGTGACATGTGATTGGATGACATCCAAAGGATGTTTGTTAAAAACCAGCTACGCCGGGAAGAAGGTTTTTTTTACAAAACAAAGTGTCATTTTTACCCAACATCCAGTTTGCACAACTTTTCTGTACAACGCACATGATTCGAAACTTAAGGTACTTGACGAATTTGAATTTGATGATATGTTCCGCTATAATATATCTACTACAAAAATAGGTTATTTTCATTTTGGTCAGATCACAGGGCATGCCCTTTGGTTAGTGTGCACTGACAAGACTCACGGCTTTGGATTCTTTCAATAACGAAGAGAGAAAGAGAAGGTGATATACAGTGTGCTCTGTCGAAATCTAAAATCTTATAATGTGAGTCTTATCAGTGCCCCATCGGCCAGGTACTTTGGATGAAATCAATATTTTCAAGGCCGTTGTGACCGTTTCAAACATAAAGTTGTTTTTATTTTAGTAATTTTTGCAAGAAATGTTCCTAAAATGTTTCCATTAAATAATATTCCTAAAATTAAATCGAAAGATTCAAAGTCGTGAATGTATTTCTTGGTACGGTCATAAAATTCTTTGTAATGACCTATTTTTATTGAATGATCTCTTTTTTCATTTATGGCTTTCAACTGCAAAAAAAATATTCACAACGTTTTACAATAAATTCCTGCAATTCTGCAGCTGATTCGTGATTTCATCGTAAACGGCCATATCGACCTGTAATTAAATGTTAAATATAGATCTGATTTAAGTATTTTGCTTTGAACATTTTATTAGAGTAATAAATTCAAAAAGATTGAAATGTATTTGTATAATTTGAGTTTTATTTACTTATATTCTTTAATGATTCATTAAATTCTCTTTATTTTAATAAAGCAGGAGAACCAACCTTGATAATGCAACTATAGACAGATAGAGATTTACTACCGGATTTGAGCGAATATTTAAAAAAAAAGCAAATTACCCTTTTACATCCGGCTCGTTATCGCACCCTTTGATATCGTTTATTACTTTACTCACATCGCCAGCATGTGATGCCCATATTTTTTCAGCTTTAGTCCCCTTTACAACTTTATTTGTGGTATCAACCAAACAATTCAGAACTTTCGTAGCCCACTCAACAGTCAATCTACTATTTAAATTGTTTTCGTGCTGGTGAGACACAGCAAAGCCCTAATAGAGAGTATAAAATCAGACAAGTTTATGTTGGAATAAATGTCAAAATCGAACATATGTGTTTAAAGTTGCATTTTCAACTTAAAAAATGAGTCAAATTCAAATTTACTCACTGTTATACACAGAAAAACTACAATGGCGAACTTCGATGGGAACTTAATTTTGATAAAATTTTGAATAAGCTTGTTTTCGCAAATGATACAACGAAGGTTTGAATTTTAATAACGTCTTTACAACTCTATTCACAGTGTGAATTTCACAACAAATCTTACATTGAGCACAATACAATGTGCTTGAACAATTCGTTCTCGTGATTTATGCAGAAATTTCCGTTGAAAATGAAATTGGTCACGTGAATTGAAGCGAATCTAACAAACTTGTTGAATAAACGTTGAATCGAAGCAGAGATTGAAATAAGAAAAATTCAGAACTACCGGTTTTCATTTTTCAAGATTTTTTTTTTATTATTTTATTGATATTTCAAAAAAATTTGTGTTTCAATGTTTGTTCATCATTTGTTTCGGCATTCTTATCTGGCACATCAAAAATTCCTTTGAAGTATGGTGCTTCTTTTGCTTTTTCAGTTGTTGCTCGTGTTCGTCTTTGTTTATCGCCCAAAAAAGAAACAATCGCACGTCGCGGTGACCAACGCTCGAGCGTTGGCATATTGTAGTATATATATAAATATTTATTTTCGGTGTCAACTGATAAACGATTGCGTCGTACTGTCTTCAACGCGTTATTCGCACTTATACATCGTTCTACGTCTGCCGAATGTGGCGTGCAAATTTGTATACGACAAAGTAGAACCAAAACATTTTCAAAGTTAGACGCATTTTCTGCATTTCGCAATAGCACATGTATATTTGTTAATAAATTCGAGTCAAGTTCAAGCTGAGTTTTCATTTCCACGAGTTCTTTGTATTGCAAATGGAGAGATGATAGATCTAAATCCTTTCCAAACAGTTCGTGTACTTCCTTCAAATTTGCATCACCACGAAAATTAATGAAAGGCTCAATGATGCGAACCAATTCATCGTCTGAAGCAAAACGATTTTTGATGATTTCAATGATAGATTCGATAATGCTTTCACGTAGAGAATCTGGATCGAAATTTTGTTGTGCTCGTGTTCGGCCACTCTCCTGAAGTTCAACTTCTTTGAGATAGTGTTTCTCGTCTTCACTCACGACAATTTCATTCTCCAAAGCACCTTCCCACCCACCTAAGAGTGGTTCACCTTTCAAACTGTCAAGTGATTTTTGTAGTAATTCCAAATGCTTGCCTGTGTGGCGGATATTTCGCAAGTTTTTCAGCGATGTCACAAGAAACTCCAGAGCAACGATTTGTTAGTTTAGTGAGACATTTGGAATTACTACAAAAATTACTCAGCTTTCCATGTGATTGGCCATTAATTTATTTGCTTGAGTTATGTGAAAATCCATAGCACCTTGTCTTTGACCGCTTGTAACCGATAACAAAAGTTGAGCCTTTGTGCATTCAATTTGAGATACCGATGCCAAATGATTTGTAACTGTCTCTTTACGATATCTCGTTCCTTCGGTTGTAGTAATTGGTGCTGGTTTATTATTTTTAGAGAAAAGTTTAACCGTTGTCGGATGTGCTACACACGTTTTGCATCGAACGTTACGATCATTCTTTCCATTCGTTGTAACGCTGAAATACTCTGAATGCCTTCTGGATTGTTCTTCAAATGATAATGCATTTTCGGTAGCATTATCCGCAACACTGTGTGCGGCAATATCAGCAGTATTTGCACCGGATCCTAATTTGAAGGCAAAATTTTGCCATGAATAAATTTCATACTAAATAAGAAAAATCAACACTGAATTTTACCAGTTGCTTCATCAGGTTTATCAATTGAAACACTTTCAGATTCATCATGTGGCATTGATTTTTCGTTGGAATTTTGAACGGCATTACTTTCATCGGCGCTTGGATTTACTTGTTTGTCTTGATCAGTTTGTTCATTTTGCGTGGTATGCGTTTCAACTGTCGTAGAGCCTATTTTAAGTAATAACACTAAATAAATAACCCTTTCGAAGTGATATTTCATTACGACATAAATTACCCGGGCGTTGAAAAAATGTGTCGATCGTTGATCCAGAATGTTTCGGCTTATTCTTTCTTGAGCTCATTTTCAATTGAGAGCGATGCTTATTATTCAATTTATGACTCCAAACTGACTAAATTGTCGTTCGCATTGTACTTTCGCAGCGACGAGAAATCAAACCGATCGAATGATTCGTTTTTTGAAGTCATATCGCAACGCAATCGTATAATTATAACTGTATATAATAATCGATTGTTGCAACATGAATAATAATCCAATCGTTTCATTTTTTTTATTCTGAGAATATAATGTTCTATATAAGAAATAAAGAAGTTTGTTTATTTTGATCACCAACAGCTGTTCGTATGCTTATATACTGAGAGTCATTGGCACTGGCGATTTTGCATAGTCAGAATTTAAAGTATATACATAAAATCATCCGCATCAGATAAAAAAAGTGACGTTTTTTCACTTCATGGAGCGATTTTTTCATTTATATTCATTTAAGATTACATTTATTTTCGTTTGATAACTGAAAATTGGGCAAATTTGTGTGAGAAATATTCAAAATTCAACTACCGGAAATCGGATTTAGAGCTGCATTTTTTCATTCAGAACTACCGGATTCCGGTAGAACTACCGGCTATTTCAATCTCTGAATCGAAGCAAATCTAATGAACTGCTCATCCAGAGCATTGAACACTAAGCATTTGTTGAACTGGACATGCTCCTATTTTCAAACAGATATTTAATTTTTTTGTCTTAATTCAATTTCGATTGAATCAAAGTAATTCTAGAATTACTTTGATTCATTATAAAGAATGGAGACGATAATGACTCAGCCCATCAACAAATTTCCGACTTAAAAAAAAACACTGACCACTCTGACCGTCTACATGTGCTCAGAAAATGATTACGTTCCCACTGCAACAAGAATAACATTCAAGCAATATTTTGGTGGTGCCTATATAAAGCACCAAAAAGGTTAGCTTGTAAAAGACCCAGGCCTACATGACGGATCTCTATAGATCCTCCACTTTGATCCATGCAACCCAAAAACCAAAAAGAACCTTTCGAGTGGTTTTTCAATAGCTTAATCTAAATATATTTAAGAAGAAAAAAAATCATCCAATTTCAATGTAAAGTCAATTTATTTCATTTCTTCATACAACAAATGGAGTTATGTGATGTGATTCCGGTAATTTCAATCCAAAAACCGATTTGAATAAGAAATTGTCCAGGAGAATATTGGAAAAGTTGTCACAATTCAATGTAAGCATTTGTTGCCGATTTCTTCTGCAATTTTGAAAATACCTTCCTCGGAGAACTGTAATTCAGAAAAAAGAGAGAAAAAAACAATTAGTTCTAAGTTTCACTCGATCTTGATCTTTCGTTTCTTGTCTCACATTTTTCAAGTGTTTGAATAAATCGCGGCGAATTTCCTCTTCCTCGGGCGATTCGGTAAAAATGCATCTGTAAGTGGAACAAATGGATTGGTCATAGAGCCAATAAATTTTTTTCATGACCATAAAAGGGCAAGAAATTTTATCTAACATATACACTCAATGCAAAGAGATGAAAAAAATGATTTTAACGAAAATCCAAATATAAAGTGACAACCAGAAATATTTTTCTTTCGATAGAATGGAACTAACTTAGTTACTCCAATTAGACTAAATTTTGCTGCACAACCCCTGTCGCTATCTCCTGAAGAGTTCAGCTGATCAACGTATCGTTTCCAAATTGGGGCAACTTCAGTGTTCTTAAAAGATTGGGAGATGTTTGCCATGACGCAATATCCCTCTAACTTCAACTCTTTAAGGGCGTCTAATGCATCAACGGATTCGATGCATTCATTCAATATATCTTCTCCCATTAGTTTTAACAATTTCTCGTATTCTTCCTGAAAATGTGGAAAATTCACCAGAAAATCAAATAATTTACCCATATCGAATGGATTTAGTTAGGCTGCTAAAAATGATTGATACTAATTAAAGTAAACAATCTACTTTAATTACGTTAAAAACAAGAAAACTAATCTTAGCCATGAGTTAACCCTTTGACGACCTTTGGGACACATATGTCCCATTTTGTTTTTCGTCAATAATTTCCACATTTTTAGACCGATTTCGATAAAATTAGTTTCTTTTGAAAGAGAATGAATGTAGATACCAGAAAGTACCATAATATTGGATATTTTACATCACTGTGCTCAAATAGAACACTTCAAAGTCGAAAAATCTTAACTTTTTTTTCAAATTCCGCCAAACCCTATATAATTTGAAGGGTAAAACTTTTAAAGCTGAAAATTGGAAATGTTGTACGGAGTGTCTGTTACTTTCCAAGGATAATCGCCTTTTCTACAAAAAAATTTGTTTCAAATTTTTATTGCTTTTGGCGTGATGGGACATATGTGTCCCATTGGTCGGTAAAGGTAAATAATTACCACTGATTTCCCTGTATTTCAACCACTTTTCGCGAATTTTGAAACACACAAATTTACAAAAAGATCGTTAAATTCGTGATTAAATGGGCACAACAAAGCATGATTCAAACCATTTTTGGTTTAAAAAGATTCTATAAATTTTAAAAATGGAAAAGATTTTACACGTCGTTCTTATGGGAGACATGTTTTTTCATAGAAAAATAAAGGTAAATAGTTACCTTTACCGACCAATGGGACACATATGTCCCATCATTTTTTTCATATTTGCAATTGAAAAAATTAATTTTTGATAACACTTTTGTTAATATTTTTGGGGTCGCTGAGCACGAATCTGCAATCAGAATTGCAAAATTCCCAGCCGTTCAGTTTTGGTCGTCAAAGGGTTAATGGCATTAAAACCATTCATTTTGGCTCGAATTAATGTTTGTTTTAACTTACCTTAGCCATTTCCCTGAAAAATTCACTAACGGTATTAGCACCCATTTCAGCAACGCTAAGCATGCATCTAAATTAGGAAAATTTGTGTTGATTAACTAATTTTCATCGTGGTGTTCAATGCATTCGCAAATTTGAGTGAGTGAGAATGTACGAATTCTAACAAATTCGTTGCAAAATCTTTTGAATTCCTCAAATATTTGTGGATTGAAAATTTCCCCATAGGCATTACTGCTCAAGAGTTCAAAAAAGATTTGAGAAAAAATTGACACAATACGGTATTTCCAGAGGAAAAAAAAATTCAAAAAAAAAAACTCACTGGTATTTATTTTTCGATTTTAAGCACTTTTCCCACTGACCCATCATAAGGCTGAGTTTGGTGTTGACTTCGGTTAAACGGCCACGGATAAGGCTATTACCGAGGTAGTGGCCAGCAAACTTTGCAATACAATTCACATCAATGCCATGTTCCTTGAACTTTTTTATCAAGCTTTGGTAATCATTTCGAACAAAATCTCTGAATGATATTTGATTGGTCGGTTCCGATTCGGCGGATGCCACCTGTAAAAACCGAAAAAAATATTTATTCTTTTAATTAGAAGCACTCTTACAAAATCATGATCAGAAGCTGGGTCAGTCAAAACGAACCCGAAAAATGGGAATTTATGAATTGATATTTGAAAGTTTTAGATAACGTGAAGTGAGGCTCTAGAGTTATATCCTATAATTTGATTTGGATAAACTTTGTGTTTTATTTGGAATCTGCCGTTTTTATGTTGACAAGATGTCGGCAGATTGAGTCAATCAATTATTACCGTTGCACACAAAATCACTACAAAACAAATCGAGGCGAATTTCATTTTGAATGTACGTTACTTTTACAACTACATTGTACACTTGATGCAAACCCTTTATATACTCGCATTGGAACATGAAATTTTCATTACCCGATATGGTAACTTTGACATGCATGGATCGTAAGTAAATTGGCCACACGCCATAAATCAAACTTAATGAGCTTAATCGAACCCAATGAAATTATTGTTTTCAACTCCGTTGAGACCATTTCCAATATTAGGTTGTGGCACAACTACACTTTACAGACACCTGCGGAAATCGTCAAATTTATTTGTCATTATTTAGCTAAGGACTAGTGCTACACAATGATATATGAGTTAAGTGGCGCAACCCCTTAGGTACCCCCAAAAAGGGTGTTTGAAGGGCGACCATAAAAATCAGGGTATTTACACCAAAGGTCATATCTCCCCAGCCATGGGAAGGAGGGCATTGCTCCTTGGGTCAAAATTGTAGTACTCGTGAATACCTATCCAACAGTATACATTACTTTCACATTTGTTTACGTTATGTTCGAAAAACCGTTACACGAAGAAAATCAAATTTTTGGGTCAAAAAAGTAAGTTTATCCTCGTTTTCTGGGTCATTGGGTGGTTTTATCGTTGGAGTGTGTTCAGGAAAATTGTAGAGTGACTCAAGGAGAACAACTTTGCTGTAGACCATTTTGCCCCATCTCCTTATGGCAGGGCAGTATAGCCCCCGGTTTCACTGAAACAAGGTCAAATTAATAAATACTGAGTATTTTCTTGTTCTAAATGTCATACTAGTTGCACCATATACCATAAAATATCCCGTATAAAGCTTGGTATGACACCTATATGGATTTTATACCTAACCTCACTTTACCACAATACATACACCACAGGCCATAAGTTTGGATACCCCTATGAATGAATTTGGCCCAAAATTTTTAAATTTCAAACCGCTTGTCCGATTTCAACATGCTATACGTCGTTGGAAAGGTCTTGGAGAGTACGTATCATTTTTGGTATTAAACATCAAAATCGGCCAGCTTTTGGCCAAGATATGGCTGATTGAAGATTTCGGCCAAAAATTACAAACGGCCATATCTTGGCCAAACGCCGGCCGATTTTGATGTTAAATACCACAAATCACATCTACTTTTCAAGACCTTTCCAATGGAGTATATTTCTTTTTAATCCGATGGCCCGTTTAAGACTTCGATTTTGGCTCCCACAGCTCAAAGGCCAAAAGATGGCCATAGGCCGGCCAAATGTTATCTTCCAAATCATCCATTTGGTCAGAATTTCGATATATTTTCATATCCAATACTAAATTTCAAGTGAAAATGTTCAAAAAACGTAGAAACAAACGTTTCATAGGGGTATCCAAACTTATGGCCTGTGGTGTATATATACGATTTACAAATAACAAAATAAACTAGGTAGGCACGAAGTAAAAAACCAAACCACTCTATTACCACGCGGAAAAAATGGGATGGGGTTAAAAAGGAGTGCAAGACCTTCACTCGCGCGCGCGCTCGTTCGGTCTTGCACTCCCTTTTAACCCCATCCCATTTTTATTTCATTCTATTCAATATAATGAGTTGATTAAATGTATGTGGGGTTTCATTTCGGAAAAAATGGGAGGGCGGTTAGAAAGGAAGCACAAGACCTTCACTCGCGCGCGCGCGCTCGTTCGATCTTGTGCTTCCTTTCTAACCGCCCTCCCATTTTTATATTAAAACTGTACGTAAAAGTGACATTTGAAAATGTGTTATACAAACTGTTACAGTGGTATACAAATGTGTTATACTGATATTTGGGAGTGATATATAGACTGTTATTTAATATGCGGTGCCACTTGTACAATATTAAGAACAAGAAAATATTCAGTATTTATTATTTTGACCTTGTTTGAGTGATACCGGGGGCTATACTGCCCTGCCATAAGGAGATGGGGCAGAATGGTCTAAAGCAAAGTTGTTCCTCTTGAGTCTCTCTACAATTTTTCTGAACACACCCCAACGATAAAACCACCCAATGACCCAGAAAACGGAGATAAATTTACTTTTTGACCCAAAAATTGGATTTTTTTCGTGTAAAGGTTTTTCGAACATAACGTAAACAAATGTGAAAGTTATGTATACTGTTGGATAGGTATTCACGAGTACTACAATTTTGACCCAAGGAGCAATGCCCTCCCTCCCATGGCTGGGGAGATATGACCTTTGGTGTAAATACCCTGATTTTTATGGTCGCCCTTCAAACACCCTTTTTGGGGGTACCTAAGGGGTTGCGCCACTTAACTCATATATCATTGTGTAGCACTAGTCCTTAGCTAAATAATGACAAATAAATTTGACGATTTCCGCAGGTGTCTGTAAAGTGTAGTTAAGCCTAGGTTGTTTTCGTTTTATTCATTTTTTTGCTTTTTTGGGATTTAATTACGAGTTGTTTCTAAAATGTTCCCATTGAAAAATATTTTTAAAATTAAATCCAAAGATTCAATGTCGTGTATTCTTGACACAGCCATGACTGTATGAATATAATTTTTTCGATGTATTTTTTTATTTTTTAATTGAATGATCTTTTCCGACATTTCTTGCCTTAGAAGAATTTCACAATTGGCGGTCGAAATGATGTACAAGTTTCAATATTGTTCAAGCCCCATGTATTTGGAGACGTCATCGAAGACTTTCTTGTACAAAACCGGATCAGTCTGTAATTTTTGAACAGAATAGATCCGCTTTTCCTGTAATCCAAATAATAATTTAATACGAGTAGTTTGTTTGAGTAAAAGTCAAGATCAAATTGCAACTACAATACATTAATGCAGAAGTTTCCACTGAAAATGAAATTGGTCACGTGAATTAAAGCAAATCTAATGAACTTCTCGTTAAGAGCATTGAACATTGAGCATTCCTTAGATTAGATATGCTGTTATTTCCAAACCGATATTTTCTTTGAGTGCATTTAATCGTGAGTTACAAGGCTAACATCAACACTTTCATTGCACTACTTGCATGAATATATTGACTTATATATAACAGATATAATGAAGAAGGTCATTGAACAAAATCAAACGCTAAACTTCGAACAGTTTAATGACAAATCTGATTCGATTTCAATTAGCCAAACATAATCGTTATCAGCATCAATAATCGGTTTCAATTTCATCTATATTTTTAACAATTTCCATAAATACTATTCATGATTAATAACAAAAAAAGTACTGACCACTTTGTATCTCAATATGGTCCAAAAATGATTACGTTCTCACGTTCAAGACACAAGACATTAAAGTAACATTTTTGGTTGTGGCTAGACAATGTACCGAAAAGATAGCTTGCGAAAGACCTAATCCATAAAATCCAAGCACCAAACAGCATCTTGCGAACGTTTTTTAAATGGCTTAGTGTTAATTTAAGTCACATCAAGAAAATCGTTACTTCTAAAATGCCAAAACGGTTGAGTTAAAAACTATTTAAAAAAAGGAACTTGGACCAAAACCATAGGCCATTCTGAACTCAAGGCGGCCTAAACTAGCGCACTATATCTGTTCGGATCTTGTGCACTCAGAAAAAAAATACGCCTCGGACTGTGTAATTAAATGAAAAAAAGCATATCGAACATTATTGCAAGATCATCTGTAGTTATTCAATTGGTAAGTAAACAGCTGCCTTTATTCCCGATATAGCAGTCATCTATTTGCTTATTATTTATCTTAATCAGCTGATGGATCTGCGTTAAATAATGTTCAATTGTTCACTCATGCAATGATAACAATGCAGCCCGAATGCCAATGACAGTTGACTTAATAGGAGAAGATGGGGAAATTCGGAACTGAACCAAACATAAACGTTTGAAAAACGTACAACGTGCGCCAAAGCATGAGTAATGTCAAAGTGTGCACAAAGAGAAAACGAATAGTGTGTTTAAAGCTATGTGCTATGGTGTCTTTGTTTCTGTCAATCACTCACATTTCCGAAGGTAGCTTTTTTCTGATTGAAATCGACATTTTTTCTGATCATGAAAATAGTAAACAATAAAGCTCCGCCTGGGGACTAAGTGCAATGTGTCATACTTTCAACGTTCGAACTAACATAGACGCGTACTTGTTATAGCAAACTATATGCATGATTCTCTATTTCTCCAACCAGTCTCCAGGTGCCGCTTTATTTTTCTTGTTTGACGTCTCCTATCTGTTTGTACAGACGACCAGAACGGCTTGAAATCGAATAGTTTGATAGATACGATCGAGCTGTCCACTTCAAATTCCCACAATTTCCCCTACAAAACACCATTTTCAATGTTTTCTTTTCAACGTTATCTTATCTTTGTATTTTTTTCTCATCTGCTTTGTCACACATTGTCACATTGTCTGCATTACATATTCCGTTCTAGTGAATCAGTATAAAAGGCTGTCAAGTTCATTGCAAAATCATTCGTAGTTTGTTGTACACAAAAACAAAAGTTTGTGAAAATGAAATTCTTCGTCATTTTCGCGGCACTCATTGTCATTTCCATGGCAGCTCAAAAAAAGGTTACTTTGGTCAGCTGTGTGGCTCCGGGATGGGCTTCTCAGAACGGAGGAACAACTGGTGGCGGAGACAACGTAGCAGAGACAACGGTTTCAACGTATGCCCAATTGAAAGCAGCCATTAAAAACGCTTCCATAAAACTGATAAAAGTAATCGGAACTATTACAATAACTGCCCGTTTAACTCTTAAGGATCAGACTGGAAAGACTATTTATGGGACAGCCGGAGCTAAACTGGTTTCTACCGATCAGACAAAAGATGGTTCAGGAATTATCAATATTAGAAGATGTAACAACATCATTATCCGAAACCTTATTTTTGAAGGACCTGGAGCCTATGATACTGATGGCTGGGACAATCTAATTCTGGACGATTGTCAAAATGTGTGGATTGATCACTGCGAATTCAGAGATGGTGTCGACGGAAATTTTGACATCAAAAACAAATCGGATTTTATTACAGTTTCTTATACAAAGTTCCAATACGTGAAAGCGCCAAAACCTGGTGGCTCAGGCGGAACAAATGACCACAGATTCTCAAACCTTATCGGATCAGGTGACGGAGCCATCGCTGATGCTGGGAAACTAAATGTAGCTTTTGTTCGTTGCTGGTGGGCACCGGGCTGCAAAGAACGTATGCCGAGAGTAAGATTCGGAAAGGTTCATGTCCTGAACAGTTATTTCAACAGTTTTGTTAGTAACAAATGTATTGCTGCGGGTTTTCAGGCCAATATTCTTGTGGAAAAGAATGTTTTTGAGAATGTGAAAAACCCTATCAGCTTAATGAGCGGATTTACGGCTGTAACACAAACTGGAAACAGTTTCATAAATGTTACAGGAAATACTTCAGGAAGCGGAACGGTATTTACTCCGCCATACAGCATCAATGAACTGAACGTTACTGATGTTAGGGCAGATGTAACAGCTAATGCAGGAGCTACTTTAGATGGAAATTATTGTGGTGCATTCTAAATTTTAATAATAATATGCCTCTTGTTTGAGATAGCCTCTGTTTGTATTTTAAACCACTTAAAGTCTTTATTGGTTAGAAAGAATAAGTTGCCAAAAGTAAAATAGAATGAATTACAGTAAACTATTCTGGGTGCTCATTTGAGAAGAGTCGAAATTTCATTTCCTATCAAAAATTTATGCCACGCGTAAGAAATATATATATACAGTTTATCGTCTGTTTGTTGTGTTTTTGTCCAGACTAAAATGAGCTGATTTCTTAGTCTCTAATCGTATTTAATGCATGAAAATGGACTTTTTTGACTTTCAGTTTTTCGAGCGCTCAAAACCTTTCAATTTTCTAGACTTTTTCAATCGAATATTATAACCGAATGACGTTATCAGTTAATCGTTTTAAATTTCAAAAGCTATTCACAATGAAACTGTGCATATCTCCTCAAAGTGGCGCGTGTACACTATATTGTTTGTTATCTATTCGATTTAAAACCAGTTAGTTAGATTGAAATGTTATTTGTGATTCGATTTCGACTGAATTTCATAGTAATAAAAAACGAACAATCAAACTAATGAAACAATGGTTTTATTTTAGTTTTCTTTGGACAATGTAAACATTTTTGGTTTATACTATCGGCTTAAAATTGCCACCATCTTTAGAATCGAATTGATTACAACTGTTTTAGTCCAAAGATCGATGGCTCAACAACACTTTTAATATCGTTTGCGCTTGCGTCTGCATCTTAATTGGCATTATAGTAGTCATCGACGGAAACGTAGTTTACACCGCCGTAATAATCCAGGACAGCGATTTGCTCGATATCCAATTTGCAGAAGTAGAATTCATGCGTACTTTGCCATTTTATTGATGCTGGATGTCGGTCGGTGTACCATTCGGCTGCTTGTTTGTGTTCGTCTGTGCCCGGTATCAAACGCACTACTTTGCCAGTGAAAATGGCTCGTGCACATGTAGGTTCCATGGTGTCGATGTTTTTGGATGTGCAGGCTAAATCTTGGTCTTCGGTAAACATAGCTGTTAATTTGTTATCAATGGCCAAATCTTGTCCGGTGAAATCCAAATCGGTGAGCAAAAAATAGATGTGTCCCGTCGATGGTCCATTATTGGCGCTATCAGCAATTGATATGACATTCACCATTGGAAAACCCTGAAAAAACGATTGACTCGATATGGTTCCCATCGATGTCCAATTTGACTTATGAACTAAATAGCGAGCCACGTAATGGGGGATTTTTCCGTAATCTCGATATGGTGGAGGAACTATCAAACCAGTTGCTGGTCTATATTCGCTAAATGACAGTATGCCAAACAGCATCAATCCAAAGGCGACACGACTTGAAACCATTTCACTTCTTTTGTACCAGATGTTTTGTAACGAATTTTTTGGATATCAGAACGAATTCTATTTGATTTGACGGAAGCTATGAATTAATAAAAAAAGCAGTACAGTTACTTTTTATAGGACTAACTTTTTTAAAATTGTTTGCAATGACATTGGACAAGCAAAACTTGGTTCACTCATAAGAATGAACTCTTTTTATAGACTGACTGACGTTTTATTGCCAATTCTCTTAAACAAACACATGAGTTAAGTGGTTAATGATAAGAGGAGTCAATACATTGTTTTTTTTTTCAATCACTTTCACAGCAATCGTACGTTTGCAAACCAAAAAATAATAATGATTCGAATAATTGTCAGCCATTCTCAATACTGTCGCATTGATTATTTAAAAAAAAAAACATAGAAATTTCCACGACCATATAACGCAATGAAAAAATACCAATCTGTTCTTCATTTGATGATTTTAAATCGCTCTAGTATTAGATAACTCAAACATGCCTTACAAGACATTTTTACTATGAGAAACTACTACTTTTGACCAAATTAGAGGTGTTGGATGAAAAGATATTGATGCGTGCTGTGCCTTTAATGAAGGAATAAAAAGCTTTTTTAAGAAAAAAGCCACAATAGTGAAAACAAAATGAATAGAATGGTTTTAGATTTGGGCGTGTTCGATGATTAATGATCATAAATTCACTAGATTATTTTGTTTTTTTGTTTTGAGCAGCAAATCTTTAATTACATGGCATAGAGTTTGCGTAATAATTGAATACATCAACGACATCAACATTGTTTGTACACTGAAGTATTATTGATTCAGACATGCTGATACTTTTAGAGATTTTCTTTGTAGGCTAATATCAACACTTTTATTGAACTACTTGAATATGATGGCTCGTGTCACTGAGAATAAAAACAGAAATACAGAAATGTTTGAACTGAAGCGCAACACGAAATTTGTTTCTTAAAATCGTTACATGAATCATCGCTTCAATAGCGCTACATGAAAAGCGTGGATTTTGAATGTGCTTTTTTGTGTCTTTCGTAAAAACGATAATAGATAACGAAATGTTATCTTCAACAAAGTTATAGAATTGGTCAAATCCCAAAACTTTGCTGAACACATCAGCTCATTATCTCTTATCATTTTCGCGAAAAATACTGAAAACCACCTTCAAAATGCACATCTTTCATGTTACGCTTCTATTGAAGCGACATTTTTAAGAAACAAATTTCTTGTTGCGCTTCAGTTCCAACACATCTGTATTCTCATTTTTATTATCAACAACACACTTGTACAACGATAATAATGACCCACGTCATTATACAAAATGAACACGAAATTAATGAAAAATCTGATTTGATTTCACAAAGCCATAAAAATTCGTTATCAAACTCAACAAGCGTCTTGACTTTTGCCTATCCATTTAGGAATTATAACAACAGAATATTTAAAAGAACACTTAGCACTTCGTGTCCCAATATGCTCAAAAAATGACTACGTTTCCACTGTTACAGCAATAATATTCAAGAAACATTTTTGGTTGTGCCTACAAAAAGTATCAGAAAAGGTAGCTTGCCAAAAGCTTAAGCCTAAGTCTAGTACGGATCTTTATGAATCCTCCACTTTTCTTATCCTTATTCTTATTTTTTATTGCCATAATGTTCATTATCACGGAGGACAACGGTCCAACTGTGCATTTCAAGCCAAATATCAAATAAAACGAATTACATACGTAATCCAAACTTTTCCGCTCCGCAGCAATTTAGTTTACCTCCCGCTTAATGTTTAACCAAAATTTCAATGGACCCTTTTTTTTATAGCATTTTTGACCTTAAAATATAACTATTTCGACCATTTTCCATACAAAAGTGTCATTTTCGAACAAAATTTCAAAAATTTCAAGAAATGTTGATTTCGGACCAAATTTATGGGCAAGTAGGTGTTCGGTTGTTCACAGACTCCCATTATTTTTGCAAAAAAAACATCAGTTTGCTTTGACCAAAACCCTGAAAAATGGCTTTCTGAGTGATTTTTCATATAAAAGTCTATTTTTCGAGGAAATTTTCAAGAAATGTCGATTTTGGACCAAATTTATGGGCAAGTAGGTGT